GTAGGAAAAACGTTAGATTATTTAGGTTACTCGAAGGAAGGGCTAATACCCACTCGTTTGTTACCCTTAGATCAAATAATAGCAGATTTGCGGGAAGCCACAGAACAGTTAACGAAGGGATTGCATTTTCCTTTTCAAGTAAAGGTAGAAAATTGGAACATAATCCAAAAATATATATCAATTAACGCATTCTACTCAAGTTCTCACATATTTACTACACTGAAGTTTCCGATTATCGCGTACCCAACTTATAAAGGCCCGTCTACAATACACGGAGTAAGAAGTAAGAGTAAGAAATTGACCAATCACAGTCGATTATTCTTCTCACATTCGACTAGATAGGGAAAATAACCACTATACTATGTTAAGCGAAAATGATTTAAATAATTGCGTGCGAGACACTACCACGTATACTTGCGATCTATGTTAAGCGAAAATGATTTAAATAATTGCGTGCGAGATACTACCACGTATACTTGCGGGCAAACCTTCCCGATATATTATATTAAATCCGATGCACCGTGCGAAGTATCGATATTCATAAACGCGCCAGGACAATTGCAAAACTGCGAAAACGGACACGTCTTATCTAGTACCACGCTATGGATTACGTTAATGGAGGCTCAAGCGTGGCTATATTCCACTAAGGAAAGCCAAAAAATTGCTATTAATTGTAATAATGTAGAAAATACATTAGAAATTAATGGAACGGGTAGAATTAAATTAACCGGGGATTGTAAATTAACCACCCCAGACTTAACTTTACGAACAAAATCCATATTAAATGTACAGTACATTAAAGAATATCTACCTGAATACAACTTAACGCAGTTAAATCAGTTTGAAAGGAACGTTAATATCGATCTCCCAAAGCGTATCCCTCTCAAACAATTAATTAAAAATCCTAAGGAATTAACCGAATTAAGTCTAGGGATAAGAGAAATTGAAGAATATTTAGGGAAAAGTAACACTCATGTATTCAATAACAAATATGTAATGTATCCTATAGGAACAGGCACTGTTATTTTAATTGTAATTAACATTATATGTATAGCTATGTATGCAGTTCGTAGGCGGAGACAAATGCGAGAAGAAACCGAGTTACAAAGGCGTAGCGACGCCGCTATGTTATATTAGTATAAGAAACGATTATAGAAATAATTGTAAACCGGGAGAATTATGTATGACAATAATTAATAACAAATTACGGAAACTCGTAACCTCGTTTCCTTTTTCCAAGGGGGGAGGAATGTCACGAGTGCGATATTGCACAAGTGACCATTGCGCCACGATTAAAGATAAATAAGATAAACAATACGATTAATTTAAAAGACGACCCTGAAGGCAAATAAATTTGGAACAAAAGAAAACGCTAACGCAGATGTTTACGCGGCCTCGTCCGATAAGCGGAACGCTGACGGAGCAGCGCGGACGGTCCAAGGATGACCCCCAAAATACCAGATATAAGCGCGACCCGATCTGCGGCCGTCGGTCAGATAATCGGTCAGATTCATAAACGTAACTATTCGCGTCGCGCCGTCC